CACATAAATGACAAATTCCAACATACATAACTCACAAATATACATTTGGCTTTCAATAGGTTAACACTTACTGGTAGTGAGTTTCAACAACATATCTACCAATGATTTTTTTGAAAATGCTGGATCATCAACAAGATGTGATCTTCTAATTTTTCAGATTTTTGTAATCTTTCTGCGAGTTCTTCAGCTGGACACAAGGCTTGTCTTATCGCTTCAACCAATGTCATACAAAGTTTCAAACTCTCCGGTAAATAACTTATATGTTAACTTAATCTATGCTTGTCAAGTTTTGTGTATAACAATACGTATGGAATTATCACAGAGTACGGTATCTTTAAATGTTCAATTCTATCAATATCTCAACTGCTGATGGTCAAAAATAAAATTTTTCAACTGAGCATTGAAATAAAATCTAACATTGCTATTTCAATTTCAACATAAAACATGATAATTATGAATGATTCAACAATAGCATCACAATTTTATTTCTCATTTAATTCTACTATATCGATAGAACAAAGCTGGCTCAAAAAGAAAAACGTTGAATGAAAAGGATGCGAAAGATAAGAAGAATTTAAAAAAAAGTAAAATGAGTCAGAGTTTGAAGAAAAATGAGGAAATCTCAGAAGAAGACGTTGACAAACCATCAACCAGCAAACCCTCACATCAGCAGCAGGAAGAAGTTGTTAGACCTCCAAGAAAAAGAACACTGAGACCAAAAAATGATAGAAAGAGATCTTATGCTTCCAAGATACAACTTGATATTGAGAGTGATGATGGAGAGATGTCTTCTGAAGAGGATGTTTATGTTGTGAGTTCAAGTGATGAATCGGAAGAAGAATGTACAAGTAGAAAAAGAGGAAAAAATGTGAAGAAAAATGTCAGTACTATAAAGAAATCTGTGGAATGTACAGATAGCAAGAAGAGTCCAAGAACAAAAACTGTGAAACGAAGCTCTACAGACACTAGTTTGATTGAAGCAAATTCAGATAGTGATTTTGAACCAGAGATTATCAACTTAGCAAGTGGACCTAGGAATACGTCACCAAAGGCTACCTCTAATTCTAAGTCAAAAGATTCACAAAGAATTAAGACAGGTATGTTTTCAAAATACGATTATTATCCCATTATTATATACTGTATATACAAATTAATATTATTAAATAAATAATATTTAAATTAAATTAAATATATTATTATATTATTAATATATAGTTGTTACTCAAACTATTATAGCTCTGGAAACTGTATAGGTGTATATTGTGAAGCTTCACTCATATAGGTATTTTATGCATGGTTTAGAATAGAAACATCCAGGGTATTTTTTATACTGTCCATTGCTGCTTGTGCACAATGCTGCTCAGTACAATGAACAGTTAATGAAGTTGATGTTTAAAAAGATTTGATTTTGACTACGATGTATGCGATTGTTTTTGAGTGTTAGAAAGTAGCATTCAATAAAAATATTATGGCTTGAATATAGAATTGGTGTACCTTCCCTCAAGGAGGTATACCGATATCAATATTCAACCATACATGTGCATTCATCAGTCATATTTCCTGTTAGAGGGTAGTATGTAAATGTTCATAACAAATGTTATAATAACAGGCAATGTTTTAATGCTGAGTACTGATAATCCTGTAACAAACTTCAGAACACCAATAGCATGATTGATGCACTGATGATCGTTATAATTATAAATGTACAACAATATTTTGAGAATGTATAAATTTCCAATTTAAGGACAAACGCATGATGACAATGTCAGAGTGGAGGCAATGAATGGTATCGATGCCATCTCTTTATTTCAGGTCGTGATCAATGGGTAGAAGTCTATTCTCTAGACAGTAATGAATGGATTTGTATAGATTGTGTCACGTCAACTATTGCTCAACCAGATGCATGTGAAAAAATGGCAACACACCCATTGTCTTATGTCCTTGCTTTTGACAATGGTGAGTATACTTCCCTAAAAACATTAATGCAGTGACTCCTAATTAAGTCACAGGTGTCGCGCTCCAATCACTAATTAGAAGATAACTTGATTTGTCATGATTTATGGATGGCCCACGCATCAAAAATATATTAAACTGCTGCTCTTTAATCCCTGAAATTGTACCATGGAATTTTTGGACGTAATTTTCTTTATATGGTGGTGACAGTTCTCTCTCTATGTTGCGGGTTTCGGGATCCAAGCAAAAACTGTGACTTATCAAGAGTCGCGGCTTACCAAGGGGTCTTGTGTAAGGGGGGTTTATGCATTGAAAATGGATATAAAGCACATGTACACACATGGGTTTGTTTATAGTAAGTTTTCTTTATTGCGGCTATTTTCGCATGGATTAAACTCAATGCATCGAAGGAGAACGGTCGAGAAATACGAACTTTGCAACTTCATACCCCTGTCGACACTTAGATTCAGGTCGTTGTCTCCCCTTTGTATCATAGTAATCGACAGACAGTAGGTGATAAGTTGTCTCCTCCAGCCTATTAATAATCAATTAAATACATGATGCGACGTAACATTAGTTATTTTACTTCAAAACTGCCGGCAAAACAATAGAATTTTCGGGAGCCATCCAACTACCCGCGACTTAGCTGAAACCGCGACTTTACTGAAACGCGACTTAGCAAAGGGTCACTGTACTACAAATCTGTACCATTGTTTGTTGTAATTGTAATCCAGTAAGTAAATTACTTTAAATAGAAATTGAAAAATGTTATTTCTTGTTGTAGTTTAGGGTGGAAAATAAAATAGTAAAATAATTTAAATTAAAACTACTGGTAGTAAAGTTAGAATGGAAATTAATTTTATTATTGATGAAAAAAGCAACCTACAATAGATGTGTGCGAGTTTGGTGCCAAAACATTTTCAGCAATCAAGGATGATGCATTATGAGAAGGTTTGTTATCTATTTCAGATAACCATGTGAAAGATGTTACAAGTCGCTATGCGTCCAAGTGGATGTCACATACCAGAAAACAGAGAGTGGATGAGGAATGGTGGCAGCAAACATTGACTCCATATCAGTTAAAAGATAAAGACAAGAGTGAAAAAGAAGACTTGGCCTTACAAGGTAAATTGTTATGTATATGTGAAATTAATTACTTTCAAGAAAATTAGAAAGGAATCAGTAAAATTTTTAGTATTACCTGAATTTATATTACTGTAATCCTTTTATCAGTGAGAACACCTTTAATTTGTTCTTCTACAGTTCAACCACCTGACAGGAAAGTGCTATTTTGTTTTTTCTACTCATTAATTTAAAACTAGCGTTTGAGGGCATTTGTCCGAGCAACAGGGTGTTTTCAGTGCTCTTCATAAATTCTGTAAAGTTATACGAATTTTACCCGAAATAACATTTAAAAGTGACATAGACTGCTCAGTGAAGAAATATCGTATCATCAGGTGTTTATTGCGCTATTGTATTGCTCGAAAATGTTTTTTCATCAGGAGAATATTCCCGAAGTTCCGGTTCAGCGAAAGCACATGTGCGATCAACATGGCCGAATACACGTGAGTCTATTCATCATCGGGATCTTGCTACTTTTATTTGGCGATATTGAAGTAAACCCTGGGCCACCTCGCAAGATGCCTGATGGTCAGCGAACAATATCTGAGTAGATGACTTTGCGTAGGATCAGTGGTCAGCATGTTTCGCCATTAACAAAAACCCAGTTAACGCAAATAGAAGACGGGGTAGACAAAGAGGGTCGCCATATTGG